GATTGAGGACATATGGCGTGCTCCTAAAGCCTCATAGAAGCTGGTTCTCATTATGACAACAATAATTGCGATTTTAATAGAAACAAGCAACAAATAAACAAAAAACTGCAAAAACCTCTTAAAAGTTAGAAGGGAAACCTTTTTAGCGAGAGTGGATTGTCCGCAGCAGCGAAACATAATTTCGTAAGAAACATACGGTCAATCCGAATTACTTTGTCTTGAGCATTCCATTCTTGACAAACTGCATAAGCCAAAGGTTTAGATTCTGTCTAAACGGTCAGTCAAAGTCAAAATCGCCCATTTCAAAAACTTTTATTGCAACTTATTCTCCTCAATTTGTGTATAATTCCAGATTCACTGTAGTAAACACTTCACTCCTGATTATGAGGATTCTCAAGACAGATTCTTCTAAGCTTACCAAAACTTCTACAGTCTTCATTCCACAACGCTGTTCAGTAAACAACCGTTTTCTCAAACACAGAGAATAGGAAAATGCGCGACCACCAGTGCGCGAAAACTCAGAAGGAAAAACTAGATAGCCTCCTTCCGGGAAACTAATATACTTTTCAAATTCTGAAAATAAATTAAAACAAACTTCCAATACTTTCCCACCAGGCGACTTTAACTCACGACTGTCCAAACGAATACTGTACAAATACCTCTTATTATCTTCTCGCGAAAAAACAACAGCGTCCTAAAGAAAAAACACTGAAAACTCACAAAATGTACAAATTATAAAAACCCGTTGTAAGAGAATTACCTTGTAAAATCTTGCGGGTTTCTTTAACGCTGAAGTTGAGGCCGATACACGACGAAAACTTTGAAGCGACAAAAGTGCTTTCATTACCACTGGAAATCACTGCATCAAAGTTAATTTGGTGCTGAATACGAAAAAGCTATTAGGTATAAGAAACTAGGTAGTGAAAACACTCGTCGAATAAAAAGAAAACCGTCGGTAGATGCTAGGAAGTGCTAACAAAAACAAAATAACATACTTTTCCAATATATTTCAAAATACAGAACAAAAAGAAAGGTTAAGCAACAGAGACACCAACATTAAATGCACCAACATATCTGAACAATTTGGCAACTTAATTATCTGGTTGACTGCCAGCAACAAATCAAAACTAATATATTCTTTCAACGAGCATTTTGCACTAAAGATAACTAATAAATGAAAACAAAGTAAGAAATAACCTTAATCTGTAAATTGAATAATCACAATTTTGCTGAGTTACATAAAAACCACTAGACAACTCAAAAAGTCCACTGAGACGCTACTTGGTTTTTTAAATCAAGATACTTAGAATGTATAACACAACAGGTAACCGTCATATCAGCTTACAAAATGATATTTCATCATAGCGTGAATTCCCAAAACACCAATTATACAAAATCCGTACCTCATGAAGTGAATCCATCCATAATTAAGTTAAAACTGTGAGCAAACCAACTTAGCAAGAAGAACAATTAAAATCACAAAAACAAAACAGCACTTTCGCTATTCACAAAACTTAAGTGCATCTTTTACCTAAATTTTATATCCAAACTAACAACAGAGCAATGTCCTGTCACCGTCGCTTATGAACGCCTGGTTGATCTTCTAAGTCAGGATACCTAGGATATGAGATTGAAGCAGCTTCCTTGTTTCTTGAAACCTCTACACGAGGAGCATTCCGTGCTAAGTTTGCATCTTCTACAGACTGGGCCTAAAACTCACCGAAAACTTCAACATTCCTAAACAGTGCCCAAATACCAATCACATTCCCAAACATAAAACGTAGAAAGTAATAGGAAAATTGAAATAATGAAAATCAATAATACTACCCAGAAACATTACATAAACAACAAAAGAAAAAAAAATTAGGGCATTATGCAATTCCTAAAATTTTCCACCGCTGAAACGATAATCTACTAATTCAAAATAATTCAGAATCTATGTGGCTGACTACCAACCTTACTTTACGTTTACCCTAAAATCCCAAAAATTTGTCAAAACCATCAATATACACTTAGTAAGATGTAAAAATACACAAACAAGTATTTTTCTGAAAAAAGATTTAGCACTTTAACTGCAAATTGATTTAGTGAACTCAGGATACCAGTTATAGAAGAAACTAAAAACTCAAAAAACCATTAGCTTACACCATAAACTTATTTAAAATGCTTCCTTAATAAACAGTTCAATTTACCTGCTGGTTCATGGTTCTAACTCGCGCCTCCTCCCCTGACGGCGGATGTTTGCGAGTACCCTTCAACCAAGCCAGCCACTCTACTGATGGCTCGGGAGAACTAAGACTTTTAGGATCATACCCGCTGAAAACGTGCTGTTAACATGTGTATTTGTTTGGTTTTAGAAAAAAATTAAAACCGAATCAAAAGACTAAGTCACCCTCAAAAACCTACAGCTTTGAAAATTAACAAACCCTGTTAAATTCTACACTGGATTCATTTTCAATAGTGAAACTTTTTGACCTTATATCATAAATTCTTTATTAAAATTTCTTAGACGATAGGAATATCATGCGAACTTTTCAG